CAGCCTGGGTGGTCAACTAGAGCGCAGACAACGCCTCTAACGGTGACCTCTGTGCCACACGTGACTCCGACTCCGAACTTCGGTGACGCGAGGAATACTCTCGCCATTTCGTCGCGGAGCTGAAGGCAGACAGCGCGGTAGAGGACGCGCACGAGCACTTCTCCAATGGCGATCGGCCGCACGTCCCCGTTCGGCTTCGCGAGAGCCACGAGGGTGGACGAAGTCAAAACAGAGCGCGTGGCCGAGGGGCAGCGTCCTCCGAGCCAGAGCTGGTAGACAGAAAGTAGGGAGGGTAGGGTCTGTGGGAATGCCAAAAGGTGCCGCGGAGGTGTTCCGCCACCCATCCGGTAGGTCCTCCCGACGAGCCCCGCGGTGCAGTGAAAATGGCCTGGCGCAAGTGGGTGGCCGAGAGCACGAGGCCCCCTCCTGGAAGGTGGAGAACCACTTGAGTAGAGGGCGCTCCGCACTAGGGTACTTAGCCCGTAGGCTATGCACCGTGCAATCCGTGTCTGGAGCCGCCTCGGTCGACTCCAGTGGCGCGCATGCATGAGATGTCTCGTTGCATGCTGCCAAGCGTAGGCAACGCGCAATCCTACGCTCGTCTCCCGACGTGGCGGTGCCAGGGGTGCGACGTGATGTGCGGGTGGGCAGGTGCTTGCGACGACGCAGCGCGTCAGAGAAGAGAGAGTCCCACTCACCTCGGAAGAAGCGTGCGACGCGAGCTGCGATGGAAGCTGTGTGGCCCCACTCTGGTGGAGTGGCCGGCGCTAAGAACAGCGTCGGCACCGCCGTGAACAAGAAGTGGGGCCCGTCGCTGTCCGGATACTGCTCCATACGGGCGGTGATCGCACGGAGAACATCAGAGATGCCGCCGTGGACCCTCGGCGAGATGCGCAGGAGCGGGCGAGCATGCGTCCGGGACGGAGAGAAATACTCCCTCCAATCCACAGAGTCCAGCTGCGCCCACTGCGCGTCAGAAATGACGGGAACAGATGAACCCGGGCGTGAGAGTGACCCGTCGACCGAGGCGGCCTCCTGGCGGGCCTGCACACGGCATGGCTCATTGCTCGGGGTGCAGTGAGGTGTGTGGTGTCGGAGAGCTCTATCGTCCGCCATGAGGTTAAGGCATGTGGGACATCTCACCTCATGGGCTGGCGTGGACTCGTCCATGTGATCGGTGTGGGCGGTCTCGTCAGAGCTGGCGGTGTAGGCGGCCGGCTCGACAACCGGGTCCGGTCGATAGTCGCCCGCCATCGGGGAAGAAGGCTCACCTGCCACATGGGGTCGGACGGGGGTCAGCGGCGGCGGCAATGTCGAAAGAGGGAGAGGGATCGGCAGGGGGCCGGCAGGCCAAAGGTGCGGCCCTTGCATTCTGGGGGGAGGGGAAAACACCGGTGGCGGGGTCGGCCGCGGGTGTCAAGCCATGTGCTGGTGTGGGTGGGGGGTGAGGGTGTATAGCACTGGGCCGCGAAAACGCTTCTCCAGGACGTGAGCTGGGAGTGGGGACCATAGGAGCCTGAGCTGTGGCCGTGTGGGGTGGGGGGATGGTGGCAGGGGAAAGGGGTGCATCAGGCTCGAGGGGAGGGCCAGAGTGCATGTGTGCTGACCGAGCATAGGTATGATTGCCTGGAGGCGTAGTCCGGCCTGGGCCAAGTGGGGGGGCAAAGGGCACGTCTGAGTCATCGATGGACATCCGCTCTGGTGCGAGGGCTGTGGAGGGAGATAACGGGGGGGCGGCATGGGGGTCTTCGTCCAGGTCGCTCGCGGCCCGGGTGCTGGGCCTAGGGGGGGCGCAGAGGGGGTAGCAGATATGCTCCAGATCCGAGCAGGTCGGCGATTGCCGCCTCCGTCTCCCAGTCCACTCCCTGTGAGTGTCCGCCTGTGGGTGGTGGAAGGAGGGCGGGTTGGTTGGTCATGGTGGGTGGGCCGCCTCGGCCATGGACCTGGGTGGGAGGATGTGGCCGGGGGGGGAGGAAGAGATGGGAGGGGGAGGCGGATGCTGGGGGATGGTGGATGTTGGGCTGCTTGGGAGGTGCAAGAGTCGCTCCCTCCGCTCTGTATCGATATCCATCTCGGCTAAGCTCCTGTCCGTCTGCCCCGGCGGCCGAGCTGTCCACGATGCCCCTTTGGTCTTGCTCCCCTTTCGGCGACCTGTACCGGGGCCGACAGGTCGTCCCACCGAGGTCCGTAGGGTGACCACCCTCCGCTGTGGTTGGGGGTGGGATGGCTGGGAGGGTGAGGGGCCTGGTCGCCGACAACAGGTGACTGTATCGAGTGAGCGTGCGTTTGCGCTTGCGCGCCGAGCCATCCTGGGGGTGGGGCTGGGGCGGGTGAGGGAACGAGGGGAAGGAGACGAGTGGTAGCGGTAGTGGGATCGGCCACACCGCTCTCGGAACACATCCCCACTCTAGCGCGCTCCTCGCCTCCCTCCTCCACGGCGTTGGCCGATGTCGCTGCCTGCGCAATACGACGGAAAGGGGGGACGTACAGATCAGAGGAGGCATCATGCGGGGCCACTACTGACACTGGGTCGATGTCCATCCCGGTTGGGGAGTTGGCATCAACTGCTTGGGCCCTGGCCAACAGAGCATGTCTGGTGCGGGAGGGGGAGAGTGAGATATAGGGGTCGCTCGAGCTTCGCCATGACGGCGGTGGCGGGCTGTGTGGGGGCAAGCGGGCATGGCAAGAGAGCCGGATGAGCTGCGAGAATAGGGTCATGAGTCGATGAGACACCCTGGGTCGGAGCTGGTGCGGCTGGAATGTGCGAAGCTTCCGCCCGCATCGGGGCAGCCAGGCGGGATATGAAGCCTGGGGCTTGTACATAGGGGCGGGCGGGGAGTGAGGGCTGGAGTGTAGAGGGAGGGTCCCGAGTGGGATGCGTGGGGGGGGAAGGGGGGAAACGAGATGGGGGTGTGATAGGCTGGGCCATAGGGAAGGGAAGCGGAGTGAGGCCCCCGATGGCTGCGCCTTGCCCGAGACTCGGCTGTGGGGCTTGTGAGGTGGGATTCGCCGCGGTGAGGCGGCACAGGCCGAGAGGGAGTTTTGTTCAGGTTAAATCTCCCCTTAGACAGTTCTCCCTGCTTGCCCTTCGTGTGGGGAGCGCCCCTTTGGCCGCCAGGGCATGTGCCATGGTCAAGGGGGCACCTGCAGTGGCAGAAGATGGGGAGGGGCATAGGGAGGAGGGTTGGACCGAGGCTTCCACCCACATTGGGGCTGCCGGAGCGCCAACCCGCGTAGGTGGGAGGGGGGAGGGGCGGTCGGAACCCCCATGGGCTGTCTTGCTCCCTCTGGCGCAAGCTGTGGCGGGGGGGAGCCTGAGAGGGTTTGGGCGGCCTGGATGTATCCAGAGAGTGGACCTCCTCGTCCGGCCGAACCTCGACGGCCGCCTCGCGTGATTCGCCCGGCCCTAGGAGGGGGGGAGGCGAGGAGCTGGCAAATGCTGCGGCTGAGCCTAGGTGGCTGACGCCGGAGAGCATGGCTCTGCCAGAAACGCCGGGGTTCGGGCTGCCCCGCTTGCACCCACCTTGTGCCACCAAGGGCGGGCGCCCGACGTGGCTGGTCGCGGGGCGAAGCAAGGGTGGGAGGGACGGGAGGGGAGTGTAGGCGTAGATGGTGGAGGCACGGCACTCGTCCGCCCAGCTGGTTTCCTCGAATCCACCCCTGCAGACCTGCGATGGGGAGTGGGGGAGGAAGGGGGGGACGGACGGGGCGAAGGGGAAGGGGAGGAGGAGGGGGGAGGGGAAGGGCGGGGGAGATAGGTGAGGCAGACGAGTCGTCCACTAGTGACATGGGTGCTGCCCCCGCTGCCTCGCCTCTCGAGCGGCATCCCCTGCTGCTGCTCTGTGTGCTTCCTTCCCTGCAGCTGCTTCAGCTGCCGCCCCCCGGGGCAGCACCCCCAGATGCTCCTGGTGCTGTCTCCCATGCAGCCGCTCCTGCTGCTGCCCCCTTGGCAGCACCTCCTGCTGCGCGTGTTTCTGCCCTCCCTGCTGGGATTCCCGCTGCTGCCTCCCTTGCGGCACCACCTGCTGCTCCCGTTGCTACCTTGCATGCAGCAGCTCCAGCTGTCGCCTCCCTTGCAGCACTGCCCACTGCTCCCGTTGTTGCCTTTCCTGCAGCCGCTCTAGCTGCTGCCTCCCTGGCCACACCTCCTGCTGCACCCGCTGCCATTGTTGCAACTTTCCCTGATGCAGCTCCCGCTGCCGCTCCACTGCTACCTCTCCTGCTGCTCCCGTTGCAACCTTACCTGCAGGCAGCTCCAGCTGGCACCCCCCTTGCAGCCCCTCCCTGCCGCTCCTGTTGGTGTCCTCCATGTAGCGGGCCCAGCTGCCGCCTTCCTTGTAGCATCTGCTGCTGTACTTGTCGCTGCCTTCTCTGCATCGGCTCCCACTGCCGCCTCCCTTGCGGCACCCGGCACCGGCTACTGCACCCGTTGCTGCCTTAACTGCAGCTGCTCCAGCTGCTGCCTTCCCTGCAGCATCTCCTACCTCCTTCGTGGGAGCGCCCGCCTGTGTGGCCTGTGCTGCTGCCGCCTCGACAGCCGCTCCTACTCCTGTTTGCCGCCATCCCCGCCGCAACCCCAGCTGCTGACTCCCCCTGCGGCGCACCCTGCTGGTCCTGTTGCTGCCTTCCCCATCAGCCGCTCCCGCTGCTGCCCCCGGAGCGGCACCCCCTGCTGCCCCTTTGTCAGCTGTCACGGCCGCAGCTGCCGCCACCCGCCGCTGTTACGGCCCCCCTAGCTGCTGCGTCGAAGCCGCGTGACCCATTGCTACTGTCCCTGCCGCCGCTCCTGCTGCTGCCTTCCCTGCTGCAGCACTTGCTGCTGGCTTCCCTGCGGCGCTCCCCCTGGCTGCCTTCCTCACAGCGGCGCCTACCTCTGCCTCCTCCGCTGCTGCCGCAGCAGCAGCCAGACGTGCATACATCCCCCCCCCGGAAACAGCCCGTGCGAGAGCGCGTACGACAGCTCCCTTTGCTGCCGCCTCCTCCGCCGTAGGTAGCCTCGCCGCTGCTGCCGCCGCCGGCGGCGGCTCTCCTATCCCTGCCGCTCCAGCTGCTGCCCGAGCTGCCACTGCACCGTGCTTCTGTTGCTGCTGTTGCTGCCGCTGCTGCTGCTGCTGCTGTTGTTGCTGCCGCTGCTGATGCTGCTGCTGCTGCTGCCTCTGCCGTTGCCCCTGCCCCACCACCTCAGCAGGGACTCCTTCTGCTGCTTCCCCAGCATCCGCCCTGGCCGCTGCAGCGGCCCCAGCCGTAACCGCCTCCGCCTCTGCGGCATCCTGAGCCCCGGTCGCTACGCCCTCGCGGGATCGGCTGCCGCCTCCTCTGCGGTGGCAGCCCCAGCTGCTCCTGCCGCCGCGTGCACCGCAGCCCCCGCCTCTGCCGCCTCTGCAGGGGCGCCTGCTGCTGCTGCCGCCCCCAAATCCGCCCCGGCCGCCTCGGTGGCCCCTGCTGCTGCTGCTGCTGCCTCTGCTGCTGCCGTCTCCCGAGCCCTAGCCGATGTACCCCTTGCACGATCCACCGTCGCCGCCTCCTCCACGGAGGCCCTGGCCGTCGCCGCCGCTGCCCGTGCTCCTGCTCCCACCGCCTCTGCCACCGTCCCAGATGCTGCTGCCGCCGCCGCCGCGGCTGCTCCTGCCATTCTGCAGCTCCTCTCGCTGGCTTCCCTGCCGAGGACACGGCGTCGGGCTGGGCTGCACTAGGAGCGGGTGCTATAACCTCGACTACATCCTCCTCCGAGTCATCAGCGCCCCCCAAAACCCAATCCAAGTCCAAGTCCTTCGCGTCATCCCCATCCGTGTCCCCGCCTCGCCCCACTCCGAGTCCTCACCAGCCCCCCCCGTCTCCGCTGATGTTTCCCCCTCCTCTTTCACCTCCACACCCCCCCCTCAACCGCCGCCTCTGCGGGACCCCCCCGTGCTGCCGTGACCTCTACCACAAGCCCTGCTGCCGCTGCCTCACCTGTGCGAGCAGTGGTACTTGTGGCTGTGGGGGTAGAGGAGGTGGGGGCTCTCCTGGCGCTAAGGTCGGCCTCTGACGTGCAGTTCTGAGCGTAGAACTCAACGGTTCTGGCCAGTACGCTTTACGAGGCGGGAAAACATCGAGAGAGAAATAGGGGGGACGGGGAAGAGTAGCGTGGGGCATAGGGCGGCGTGTTGTTAGGTTTGCAAAACAGCGGGGTGTGTCCTAAGCGTCGGAACTATCTAGTACCGCGCTAGGAACGCGTGACGCACTGGAAACGCCAGGGAAGGGACAGAGAGGGCAGGTGGGGAACGTAGCGAGAGTGCCATCAGAACTGGGCATCAGAACTCTTAAGAAGCTTCGAAAAAAACCCAAAACACACCATTCCGAGGGGAGTCGGGCCACGGAGGAGCCCTTAAAACCATCGGAGCGCCGTTCCGGGGGGTGCCGGCGGACAAAGGACCCCTTTTAGCTCGTCCCGGGGCGATGTGACTATAATGAAGGGTAGTGTAGCTCGGGGGCCATCCGGTAGTGAGCGCCCGACCTAAGCAGCGTGGTACAATCATACCTTGGCTACTACGCCGGATCCCATCAGAACTCTGAAGCTAAGCGCCAGTGGGCGAGAGCATTTATTTGATCAAGTCATATAGCCAATATGAAACCGAATTAAAAAAAAATTCGGCATAAGCGTTGCGCTATACGACCATAGTGGATTTTAGGAAGAGAAGGAAAAGAAGAGAAGATAAAAAAGAGGGGAAAAGAAGAGAAGAGAAGAGAAGGTAGAAAGAGAGGGAAAGAAAGAGAAGGATATGAGAAGTAGGGGGATCAAGAAAGATAGGAGTAAGGGAAAAGAAAGAGGGAGGTGAGAGACAGATGTGATGTCTGCTCCAGTTGCTTGCGCCAAGCGGTACCGGTATCGGCATCCATGCATCGTCCGACTCTCCCAACTGTCGCACTGCAAGCTGCGTGATAATGTTCGCCTGCACGCGCTGCAGCGCCACTGAAACTCGTGTGGTGAGAAAGCACTCAAAGATCCGAGCCGATGCTTCCTCCCCACTACCCGCCTCCCGTTGCTGCGTCGCTATGCGCTGTGAGCATAGCCCCACAAAAGCTCGCAGTGGCACGCTCAAATGTCGAAAAATCTCAGCGACGCACGCATAGAACCTCGGCTCTGGCTGCACCCGTACCAAGGCCGGCCGCTAGTCCCTAATCTTATCCTGCACCCGCCTCGTCGCCGCCACCCCCGCTGTGTGGATGCCGCTCGCCGAAACTGTGCGTTCCCACCCCTTTGTGGATCCGCTATCGACATGTCTATAATAATCATCAGTGCCTTCTGAGCGTCACGGCATGTGAGGTCGGGAATGCATGTGGGTGCTCCTGCGTGGCCTACGCGTCCGGCTGTGCTGTGCTGCAGTGTGGGCAGCTGCCTAGTCATGTCCCCTGGTCCCCTCCTCCTTGTGCCATTGTCCCCCCCTCGTCCCCCTCTCTCACCCTCCCTTCCCTTTCCCTTGCCCCTACCCCACCCAGCCCCCTGCCTCTCCTACCGGCCCCGCTCCTCCCAACCTCCTCACTCCCTCACCCCCCCCCCGTCCCCCTGCTGTCCCCCCTCCCCCTGCCACTCTCTCGCCCTCGTGTGCCCCTCTCCCCTGGCGGGGATCAAGCTCCACACCCCCTCTGGCCCCTCTAGCTGCCTCTGGCCCGTCCCGTGCTCGGTCCTCTGCTATCTGACCCCCTCCCTCGACCATGACTATCTCCTCGATCTCCTCCCCCCCACCCCCCTGTGGTCGGGCTGCCCCCTCCTCCCCTGCGTTACCCTAAGTCCTCCACCCCCGAGCCCCATCCGCCCTTCCCCCCTCCTGAGCACCCCGTCCTCCTCGCCCCAGGCGCCTCCCTTGGCCCTCCCTCAGCTGCGGCTGCTGCGGCTGTACCATCCTACCATGCGAAGCGGGCTGTCCCTGTGGCCGTGGCGTCTGTCCAAGGACTCCCGCATCTGTCCCCCGCGTCTGCAGCACTAGCCATGCCTGCTGTCCCGACTCTCCCGGCAGTCCTAACACTCCCTGCTGTCCTGGTGCTGCCCCCCTCCCTCGTGTCCCTCCCCCCCACCCTGCTGCCCCTCCCCCCCTCCCTGCTGTCCCCCCCCCCCCCCCGGCTGTCCCTCCCCCCTCCCTGCTGTCCCTCCCCCCTCTCTCTTGTGTCCCTCCCCCCCTCCCTGCTGTCCCCCCCCCCCCCCCCGGCTGTCCCTCCCCCCCTCCCTGCTGTCCCTCCCCCCATCCCTGCTGTCCCTCCCCCTTCCCTGCTGTCCCTCCCCCCCTCCCTGCTGTCCCTCCCCCCCTCCCTGCGGTCCCTCCTCCCCTCCCTGGACACGCTGTGCCCTCCGTCTTGTCTGAGTCTGTCCCTGTGCCAGCGTAGGCCCTCCCGCCTGTGCCCCCTCCCGCTGCTGCTGGGCTGTCAAGCGCCGTTGCACCTCCTCCAGTTATGGAATGAGCGCCGTGTCCTCCACCCTGACCGCAAAACCCGCCTCGCGCGCGATGTCACGGAGGACGTACTTCACGGCGTTGTGGACGGTCGTGGTGACATGGTAGTGCTGACAGCGTATGACTTGGTGGGGCACCAACATGTCCTCGATCTCCCGTCCACACGAGCAGTGACATGTAAGGGCTATCTGGGGGATAGACAGACCAAGGCAAAAACATGAAAGCCACCTGCCACTGCGCCTCCAGGATGCGCAGTGAATCTGCGTAAGGGACCGCCGTGAGCCACGCGCCAGCATCTGCGCCCTGAAGGGATGTCAAATGGGCAAGATGTGACGTCCACGAACGGACTCTAATACCGACGCCTCGAGATGCCGACTCACCTCAGAAAACAGACCGTCCGGCGCACTCGAGATGCAAGAGGACAGGGGTGGCAGCAAGGCCCAGATTGCTAGTGGGAGGTCTGCCAAAGCCGTCGCGATGTTGGGGTCGATCCCTGCGGGTTCATCCGCAGCGAGCGCCCGTCTGAAGGACTCCACCGATCTGTGGGAGGGAGCAGAGGATGGGGGCGCACTGCGCCCAAGTGCAGAGGTAGCTCGCTGGCGCCGAGCGCGCCATGCGGCGGATGCCGAATCCGCCTGGCCTTATGGGCTAAAATGCCTGGTCCAAGGCTGTGCCACGTATCTCTCCTCCTCCGCTCCAGGTGCCCGCGACGAATAGCCGCTGGAAGGCCTCGCCGAGGCCATCGTCCCAGTGCGCGAAGATGGAGCGCACCGCCTGTGTGGGCGGGACCGTGCGCGCTAGGTACTGGGGGCACGTGCTAACGCATGCTGAGAGCAAGTGCGCAGCTATCTGGGGGTCCTGTAACCTAGGCACCCATAGCAGCACGGGCCATCCACTCCAGGCGCTCCCTGAGTCTCGTGTGGACGAAATCCTCCGTGCCAACAGGCACCCCCGCAACCATCAAACCCCGGCGCGCGACATCGAGGCCGAGGCGGTGAAGCTTGCCAACTCCTCCGGTCGTGTGGACGCAGCTGGATAGACCAGGCACTTGCGCGGCTGGACCAAGAGGCCCACCTTGCCTAAGCGCCTCTGAATGGCAGTGAAGCTCTGCAACACCCTCTCTGGTGTGCCCGGGACGTACGTGTCATCCGCATATGACCACAGCTGCACGTCCTCGTCCACCAGAGCTGGCTCCAGTGCCAGCCTCTGTGTCAGGGCAAAGAGAAATGGGCTCAGAGGGTCGCCCTGACGAGATCCTCGCTCTGAACGGATGGTGGTGACTCCTCGCCCCGGTCTGGAAGAACAGGCGAGGATGGCATGCCGTATAAAAGGGCGACGAAAGGGATGAGGCAGTGAAACTCCGGGCTCGCTCGCAGTGCCTCAAACAAGAGATCGTGGTGATAAGAGTTAAAGGCGTTTGTCACGTCGAGCTCGACGACCACCCAGTCCGGGTGATCCGCCCTGCCGCGACGGACGCCCCTAACAACCAGCTCTGTACCGCAGGTCACTCCGACCCCGAACTACTGTGACCGCAGGAAGACTCGAGCCATCGGCTCACGCAGCTCCAGGCATGACACCCGCTGGAGTAGGCGCGCAAGGACCTCGCCTATGGCTATCGGCCGAACGTCCATGTTCGGCTTGGAGAGCGCGACGAGGGTGGATGATGCTAGCATGGGAAGTGCGGCCGGGGCGCAGTCGCCCCGGAGCCACTGCTGATAGACAACGAGCAAGGTAGGGAGGGCCTTTGGGAAGGCCAAGAAGGTGTCTCAGAAGTGCTCGGCCACCCATCCCAAAGGTCCTCCCGAAGAGCCTCTCGGAGCGGTGAAAATGGCCCTGCGCAGATGCTCAATGCTCAGAACCAGGGCTGCATCCCGGAAGGAGGCCACCCATGCTGGGATGGGGCGCTCTGCACAAGGGTGCTTTGCCCGTAGGCGATGCATCGTCTGATCTCCGTCCGGGGCCGCCTCTGCCGACTCCAAGGCCGCACAAGCACGTGACGTCTCATTGCACGCTGCCAGCCGGAGGGCAACGGGCAATGAGGCGCTCGTCAGGCGTCGAGGTCGCGGCGCGTGCGCAGCGTGTCATGCGTGCAGCAAGGGGTGTGCGGCGGTGGAGCGCCTCTGCTATGAGGGCATCCCAATCTCCACTAAGGAAGCACGCAATGCGCCTAGTGATGGCTGCCGTATGTGATCGTGCAGGTGGTGTAGCAGGCGTGAGGAGGAGGGTCGGGATGGCCAACAGCAGAAACGTCGGCCCGCCCACCCTTGGGAGCTGGCTGAAGCGCTGGCAAGATTGCGCAGAGGACATCCACGTACCCCACGCGAACCCTTGGCGGGATGCGCCAGAGCGGGGCGGGCATGCATGCGTCTCGGTGAGAATATAATTCGTCCAATCGACCGCATCGAGGGACGACCAGTGGGCGTCCGAGAATGTGACGACGGAGGCTCGTGGCTCGCTGAATAGGTGGCAGGGACAAGGGGTGCGTCAGTCTCGAGGGGAGGGCTAGAGTGCGTGTGTGCTGACAAAGCGTAGGTACGATCGCCTCGAGGTGTAGTCCCGCCTGGGTCGAGTGAGGGGCAGGGGGCACGTTGTAGTCGTCGATGGCCATCCGCTCTGGTGCGAGGGCTGAGGAGGGAGATAACGGGGGGGCAGAATGGGGGTCCTCGGCAAGGTCACTCGCAGTCCAGGGTGCTCAGCCGAGGGGAGGCGCATAGGGGGTAGCAGATATGCTCCAGATCCCGAGCAGGTCGGCGGCTGCCGCCTCCGTCTTCCCAGTCCGCCCCCTGTGGCTCTCCGCCTGTGGGTGGGGGAAGGAGGGGGGGTTGATTGGTCATGGTGGGTGGGGCGCCTCGGCCCTGGACCTGGGTGGGAAGATGTGGGCAGGGAGGGGAGGAAGAGATGCGAGGGGGAGGCCGACGCTGGGGGGGATGTAGGGCTGCTTGGGAGGTGCTGGAGTCGCTCCCTTCGCCTCTGTATCGATATCCATCTTGGCTGAGCTCGTGTCCATCTGCCCCGGTGGCCGAGCTGTCCCCGATGCCCCTTTGGTCTTGCTCCCCCTTTCGGCGACCTATACCGGGGCCGACAGGTCGTCCCACCGAGGTCTGCAGGGTGACCACCCTCCGCTGTGGTTGGGGGTGGGATGGCTGGGAGGGTGAGGGGCCTGGTCGCCAACAACAGGTGGACTGTGTCGGGTGAGCATGCGCTTGCGCTTGCGCGCCCAGCCGTCCTGGGGGTGGGGCTGGCGCGGGTGAGGGAACGGGGGGAAGAAGACGAGTGGTAGCGGTGGTGGGATCGGCCACACCGCTATCGGAACACATCCCCGCTCAAGCGCCCTCCTCGCCTCCCTCCTCCACGGCGTTGGCCGATGTCGCTGCCTGCGCAATACGACGTCCATCCCGGTAGGGGAGTTGGTATCAACTGCTTGGCCCCTTGCCAACAGAGCGTGTCTGGTGCGGGAGGGGGGAGAGTGAGATATGGGGGTCGCTCGAGCTTCGCCCATGACGGCGGTGGCGGGCTGTGTGGGGGCAAGCGGGCATGGCAAGATAGTTGGGTTGAGCAGCGAGAATAGGGTCATGAGTCGATGAGACACCCTGGGTCGGAGCTGGTGCGGCTGGAATGTGCGAAGCTTCAGCCCGCATCGGGGCAGCTAGGCGGGGACATGAAGCCTGGGGCTTGTACAAAGAGGCGGGCGGGGGAGTGAGGGCTGGATTGTAGAGGGGAGGGTCCCGAGTGGGATGCGTGGGGGGGTAGGGGGGAACGAGATGGGGGTGTGATAGGCTGGGCCATAGGGAAGGGAAGCGGAGTGAGGCCCCCGATGGCTGCGCCCTGCCCGAGGCTCAGCTGTGGGGCTTGTGAGGTGGGATTCGTCGCGGTGAGGCGGCACGGGCCGAGAGAGAGTTTGTTCGGGTTTAATCTCCCCCCTGAGAGTTCACCCTGCTTGCCCTTCTTGTGGGGAGCGTCCCTTTGGCCGCCAGGGCATGTGCCATGGTCAGTTCAGGGGGCACCTGCAGTGGCAGAAGATGGGGAGGGGCATAGCGAGGAGGGTTGGACCGAGGCTTCCACCCGCGTTGGGGGTGCCGGAGTACCAACCTGCGTGGGTGGGAAAGGGGAGGGGGCGGTCAGGAGCAAACGTTAAATCGTAGTCGATGCCGTAAGTCTGTTCGAACCCGCGGACGACCCATCGCGCCTTGAATTCCTCAAACGACCCATCTGCATTAGTCTTGATGCGGAAGACCCATTTTCCGGTAAGTACCTTCTTCCCTTTACTTTTGAAGTTGGTATTAAGTCCCACGTGCCACGATTCTTGAGCGCTGCTAGCTCCTTGTCCATGGCTTTGCGCCATTTTTCTCGGTGAGGACTCGTAAGAGCTTGTCGAACGGTTTTCGGTTCAGGTATTTTACTGTCGTTGTACTGTACTGCGACTGCGAACCCCAGTATCTGCAATCCTGTTTCTGTAAAGCGAGGACGTTCTTCGTTTGCACCTGCGAAATTTTTCTTCTGGTCCTTCTTCCCCCCCAATTTTGTGTCAGGTGTAACACGAACTGCTTCGTCGGAGACGACGGGCATCGGCTGCTGTTGGCGATCGCGTTTGTAACTGAGATGAACTTCGCGAACGTCATCCTGGTCAGCATCTGCAAGAGGAATGAATTCAGGTATGCCGGTCGACGTAACAGGTTCGGGAATGTCTGTTGCGGCAGCTTCGGATGCTTCAGAAACATCCTCATCCTGAACATCAGCTTCGGCTTCGTTAGTTGCAAATGCACGCGAGCCTTCGAACAGCCTGGCAGGATTGGCAGCTGCTGCTTGGTGGGCACGAAAAACGGGCAAGGTGAGTCTTTCATAAAAAAAGACAATCACGTGATGGAACGATTTGATGGGAGCGAAGATCCAAAATCTTCCACGCGTGATACTGTTTTTCGATGCCAAGATGTACCCCCCCATTTTGCTCGTTCGGAAAATTTTCCAAGAGCT